TCCCTCGAGAAAAAATGTCAGTGAATGAACCACTGAGAAACAAAAATTAATGATACTTACTTAAATAAAATGGGGGAAATATATGCTAATAAATTGCCTAATACAATGTTAGGAATGCTTGAATTGATCATAAATTGAGAAATACACCATTGGCTTTAATTACCGGTATTGTATTTTAGATCTAAGGGCAGATAACTCTAACTGTATAAATATTTATAGTTCTAACTCTATAGTTTGCAGTGTTTAGAGGGTCCTTAGTTGTAAGGGCAATATTCACCTGAACAAAGGGGTGAGGAGAATATTTTTCTATAAAGGATATTGTTAACCAAATAAAATCAAAAATTGTTTTGTTTATAAACATACATGGACATGTCTTTTTCTCATGTGAACAGTATACATTCTACTCAGATAAATCAGACAGTAATGCTTAAAGTGGCATACCAAAATTATAATGACCACAATAAAATCAGGAATAAGAATCACAATTACATATAGGTGTTTTGACTTCCATGAATGTCTTTCACGTTACATACATGTATACATGTACATATATGAGGTATTATAGAAAATAGCAAAAACACTTCCCAATTTTTGGTTTGCCTTTTCTAAGAATACTAATGCATATACTTATTTGTTTTGACAAATATGATTTTTAAAACAAAATCCTAGTTTAAAGCACCAACAAAATAATAAACATCTCAAAATATATTCAAAAAATATAGTAGGCAGTGCAGACCTGTACTCTTTACAAACCATAAAAAAAATAATATTATAGCTATTATAATGAGATAACTGAAATAAAAGTATAGCCTATAGATATATTTTTTGTAGACATCATTCCAATTCCTGTCTGCTCCATACACATTCCCCTCCTATGTAGGTGGCTAGAACTTTGAGATCGTCATCTAATAATATAAAGTCAGCATCAGTCCCAAAGTCCAGAGTTCCTTTCCTGTCAGTGATTCCTAGGAAGTGGGCGGGGTGGAAGGTGGCAGCCTCCAGAGCCTTAACTGTCCCACAAGCTGTCATAAAGAAGAGCTTGAGATAAATGTACATGCACAAACACACTGTCATCTTTATATGTGCTGTTAAAAGCTGGAGTTGTTTGTATTCAACAGAAGCTGTTGCTATATATGCATACAAGTAGAATTTCAGATTATATATTAACTTTGTAAATATGAAATATTTATCCTTAATAAATAAATATATATTATAATGCTCATACTTGTGGATTTTCTGAGGTGCTGAACACACATATCCATTGTTGCTATGCTGGAATGACATAAATAACAATTCATGTGAACTTTGATTGCCATGTTCTGTACACAGTCTTTTTACAAAAACAACTTTTATATTTATCCGAAAAAGTTCTCCAAAATGTATATATTGACTTGTTAGTAAGACATGTGGTCAGTGAAATGATAGTTAACCTGCCACATAGTGTTTGGGTGCCCTTGATGACAGCTCTTCGTCCCTTTATTTCCATTGTCTGGGAGCCAAACCTGTGTTCCCCCTCTGGGAGCCCCATCGCTGAAATAGCATCTGTCACAAGCACCATACCTCGCTGGTCAACCCTGCAATAATGACTTGTGATTACAGTGCTAAATGCACTGAACTTGAGCTGACGCAAACAATTAACTTTATATACATGTACCGGTAGTTTGCTTTGGTTTTCAAAAAAAAAAAATTACATCTGTTTCATTAAATGCATGTTCAGAAACAAAACATATTTTTAAATCATATATCTGTACATTAAAAAAATATAATTTTCAATAATTAAAAAAAAAATTTGCTTTTAACAAAAATATTTTGACAAAGCACTACAAAGTAAACAATTTTAGTTGGATATAATGATGTAAAGATCCAACAATGTAAAGTGTAATACATGCATATATGTCCATAGCAGTTTACTATAACTTGGATTTACTGCACGAACCCCTGCCAAGTCTGATACTAACAAATAAAGGGTTTTCAAGATAAATTCATTGTTTTATAATAACAACTTTCTTAAGAAATTAAAATGGTCATGTCACGAGTTCTGTAAACCAACTTTTATTCCTGTGCGAGAAATATTCGCAAGTTTCGCGACCTACTTGAACTTGCGAATATTAATCGCAGCGAACCATTAATTTTGCTTTGTATTTGTAGAGAATGTTTCCTCAGTGGCGAAAATTAATCGTCGCAGATTGATTTCAAACTGATGAATCGCGAATAAAAGTTGACACGAATAATAGTTGCTTTACAGTATATTATAATGAGGAATATTTCAATGCCAAAAGAACAACAATTTTAAATTTCTTCAAAATGTGACACACCTGTACGCAATTCTGAGAGCTGCTGGATGTGTGTGGATGCCATCTGATATCACACCATAGAACGGAACATCACTGGGGACCCTTTTACTGGTCAACAGGCCAATCAAACCAGGGTCACGATGGTGGAACTACAAAGAAGAGAGAGGAAAGGGTCAAGATAGCACTAAGATAGCACTAAGTATATTGCCTAACAAATGTGCTGTTTTTACAGTAAGCATTTGACACTGTGTAAAACACACAAAAAGAGTTTCCACATTAAATTCTTCTCAAAGCATTACATTTAATCACACTGATTTAAAATTCTTGATTAAATGTAAAGTTTGCTCACTGGTAGCATAGCGTTAAACAAATGGGTGATAAATGTAGCACCACTGTTAACTGCCTCTTCTCCCTGAATCAGGTTTGCAACAGAATGTCCTGAAATCAGTTCAATACATATACCTAATATGTATTACTGAAGTTTTCAAAAGCTAGAGTACTGTAAAAGACGATTACAATGTACATTGCAGTGGCTTTAATTTCACTGTGTTCATGAAAAAAGATTTTTCCCCAACATCAAGCCATCGTGAACATTATTTATCAGTAGTAAATGATAAAAAAAAAATCATTCACTTAAGATAGCTGAGGTAAATAACATAGCGGGTTATAGTTATATAATACTAGATATGTTTGTTATAAATAATTTACCGTAACTCTGTTTTTAAGGCAGTACGAGTGTGAGATCAAAGTAATGGAAAACAAATGATTTTGGTATCAATGGATGCACATATGTATAAAGGATGCTTGATTATAAAATAAAGAAAAAGAGTGTAGCCATTTGCCATCTAGGGGTTGTCAAACTAAGGGAGGTAACTCTGTGTAATTTTTTTCCTTAAAAATATAGTCCGTATATCAATTTAAATAAATAAGTCAAAGATGATGTAAAATTTTAAAATATTTATTTTTAGTAAACATCTAACATCTGTTCTAACATTTAAAACAATAAAAAAAATTATAACAATTTCTACACTTTACTCGCAGCGCCACCTATGATGTCTAATTTTGAACAGCAAAATACATAAATTGTGGATCTTAATCAAATTGTAAAGCACAGACAGAGTAATGGAAATAGAAAAAGCAACTTATTTTCATAAAATATAATAACAATCAATCAATGTGTCCGAATTTCAGAAAAAAGAGTGGAGCCATTTTGAAAATATTCAGCCCGAATTTCCTCTGAACAGCTTTTCTCTGCAAAATTTTCATGTTTACGATTTACAGTAAAATGATTCCATTTACATTTCCAGATTATACATATATGTATTGAAAATGAACATGGAACAAATTGTATCAAATATATATTATACCTGAACTTTCATTTCAAGCAATATAACAATTATTTCATGTTGTTTGATGAGCTTAGGCAGCATTAACTTTTTTTGAGCATATTTCACAGCAAAATATTACAAGTGTGAGTCAAAACCAAGTTTGACAACAGAGTAGTGGAAACATTAAAAATAACTAATATCAGCAATGTCACATATGATTCCATAGCTCAGTTGGTAGAACGTTAGTTCGGTAAGTGAGAGGCCTGGGTTTGATCCCTGGAACGTGACGTACATAAGGCATGTATTAGGTAGCAACTGTTCCTTCTGCAAACACTCAGCAATTGAAGTGAAAGTTGTGGGGTTGTTCGGATGAGACCATTATCCTCGAACATCTACATTATAAAAATAGGTCATGTGTCACAGTATATGCTGGCTCAAAGAAGAATTCGAAGAATATTTCACTCTAATGGAGATGTCACTGAATTAATTAATACACACCAGCAGCAAGCTTTACGTTTGCAGCCCAAATTCTGTCACACCTCTTCCCGGTTGGTATATTGTTTACCAGCTTGCAGGATGTATTACTGCAAGGTATCTGCAATTGAACAAAATTGCATTCAATATTACACCATGAGTACTCAATGAATGGAAATTATATATATATATATATATATATATATATATATAATTATGTGTGTGTGTGTGTGTGATTTTATTTCTCATATCAATATTTTATACTAAAACCATAATAATAACAAGAGGCCCAACTGGCCTCCTCGGTCACCTGTCACATAGTTTTGGAGAAGTTATGAATGGATGACGCACACACGTACAGAAATAGGTTACCTGTGTAACACAGGTGACCTAAAAATTCTAGATTCTTATCTATGCCCACATTTATTTGCCTTTGCTCTAGTTTTTATTTATATGTTTTCAAATAACTAGAAATAGCGTTGAACTAAAATTAGGCATCTTCGCTAGCCAAGGGTTTACTTGGGTTGTAGAGTAGATTTCAGATCGGAAACCCTTGGCTAGCGAAGGGTTGTAGAGTAGATTTCAGATCAGAAACCCTTGGCTAGTGAAGATGAAATTAGGAGATATCCATATTCTGTGGGCTATTGGTTTCATGATGAACATTCTTTGCTCACTGCTAGTTATGCTGTTGTTCGGTGTTTCACATAGTACATTATTAAATAAAATGTACATTCAATTCCCATTAATTACAATAATGGCCAAATGCTAGAGCAATCTTTGTAAGACTATATACAGACTTGTAAGGCAAACTAAACAGCCAATTTGTTTTAACTTGTAATGTAAGGCAAGCCTTACTACATGTATGTGTACCGGCTTATATGGATAAATATAAACAAAATAAAAATACCTCTAAAATGACAGAGAGATCGTATGTTTGAATTGTGGTTGAAAGCACCTACTGAAGAGGAGACCACACTTCTGGCAGGCTTGTAAGACACCAAGCTCCACAATTCTCCGACCCTCTGTCCATCCAATGCCTTTGCATGAGCTGGTACAATCTCTTCATGATCCACAACTTGAAAACTGGGAGTGCCACACCCTTCATCTATTGGATATTTATTTAAAAACAAACTTGAAAGTACTTTTTAAGATTTGAGATATATTTTCAAATGTAATTTGTATATAAAACAAAAACTGTATGCATTCCATTAGCTCAAGATTTGATACTTAACCGATACTGATACAGAACTGGTTATCTTTTTTCATACTTGTATGTATAAAAATTTTCTGTAATGAATTTAATATATAAATATTTCTACATTAAGTTTCTTGCCGTTTGACCCAAAGTATACTGATATGACCTCGAATGTGATCCTGACTTTCACTATGAATTGACTTTGAATTTTTTTTGACTTTCCATTCAAACTTTCTATGGAAGTTATTAATAAATCACAAGAAATTGCGTTATCAAGTGATCTTGAAATAAGACCCCTTAACATAAAAAAAAATATGTTAACTTTATGCAGACCAACATTTTTTTTCCACACCATAACCCTAACATTACTTCTTTCATATGTACATTTGTATCCCTTATCAATCCTCACAGTGTATATAAATAAAGATAAAGGAATTAATCTGAAATAGAATTACAGTATTAAAATCCTTTTGCATTGCAAGTTTAACTTTGATGGTCAATTAAAGTTTAACATTTGACTTGTCTACCAATTCTGCACTGCACTAAATGCCCATGGTGGTGACCCATGCAGTATTGACATGTTTTTGTTCGAAGTTCCTACACAATTTGAATTAGTATTATGAATCAAATTCATTCAATTTTAAAGACATATTTTCCAACAGAAAATCTCTCCTATTCATACCTGGGTCTGAACTTACAAGTGTATGAGTTGACCGCTAGTGCTACCCACATGGGGGGGGGGGGGGGGGGGGCAGATGGCTCAACGAAGAATCATGGTTGCTGATGATATCACTTGGCGTTTAAAAGTTTATCAACTTGCTCAAATATTTTATTAATTTAATAAAATATCTCCGAACTTTACAGATTAGTTTCCTTGCAATCTCCGAGCATTTTGTTTACATAACGTACTTTCTATTTCACAACGGGGAATAACTCTAATCAAAAGAAAGGACTTCTTGAAGAAAAATGTTATCATCAAAAGCAACATGAATCACTTAATCGCTCAAAATATCTTGATACGGCTGATTCCTTGTTAATATATGAATTCCAACAACATTTTTATTATGGCTAGTAACATTTACATGTACACATGGTCTGAGATCGATTAGGGATATGCAATTTTTAGCCTTCGTAACCGTCGTTTGATGGACTAAGCCTACATTATGATTTGCCGCTTTTCTTACCGGTTATTGAACACATATGGTCACTATGACACCGCATCTACCTCTGCCTCTGGGCTTCTGACTGGTTTTTGTACAAAAAATTCCGTTTGCGGGTGACAAAGCCGCCCTTTGCATGTCCCATTTTCTCTCGTCTGTCAGTTCGGGAAATCGCGCGTTGTAGTTGCTATGGAGATCGGAAACGGGTCAGTTGTCGTAATAAAAAGAAGACGTACTCGTTGACAATCCAGATAATTTTAATTCGTATTTTTATCGAAAAAATATATGCAGGAAAGGTAGATGCACAGCATAATTAATTATTTAATGTTTCATACACTTCAACTGACGTTACATTGAATGCAACTTTCATTCCACTTTGTGTTAACATTCAACCTTAAGAAATATTTTTAAAAATAAATATTTAGTGATGAGAAATTCAATGACCATTAAATTATTACCACTGTGAAATGTGTCTACATATAAAATCGTGAAATATTAAACACATGGAATTAAAGACACTTACAATAATCAATGTACATAAGTAAAAAACTCTTTGAAAAAAAAATAATTGTATTATTCTTGGAAAAAACAAGCTAGCAATTTTAAATTCACGCTTACATTGTACGTCACTTGAAAAATTTTGGCACTCATACAATGAATGAACAAACCAACAGAGACTTTGATCCCTCTGGACACTAGTTCCCTGATAACTTCTGCAGATCTCTCCAGCTCTGGAGCCAGTGTTACTATAGCAACATTACTCAGATCTTCTCCGTAGATTTTTGTTACATCAGACATTCCGTTGTTAAATGTCTGGATTAAATCCACATCATGTGCACCTCTCTTCTCCTTGCTGATAAATGGACCCTCCAAATGCAAACCTTCAAGCATTGAGATTTAATCAACAACATAAATATATAACATTACCGTATATAAATACTGCAGGTAGTTGAGTGTAACATTGAAGATTTTCACCCCAAGAAAACCACTGTTAACCGAGGCATAGCCAGGTTGATAATGGTTTTCGAGGGGTGAAAATTTTCAATGTTACACTCAACTGCATGCAGTACTTATTATATTATACTGAATGTTTTATACAAATACATATTACAGTGAGCGTTTAACGCATCAATTCTACGCTGTCAATATTTTTTTTAATATCAAGCAATGTTGACTGTTGCTATGCTGGAGGGCATGACTTCATTATACAGCGGATAATACTGTTTTTTAACAAATGTTTCTCGACGAATAAGATTCAACTAATCTACATAAAAGTATAATATAAAATAATATAGTTGAATCATACACATAAAGGTGTACTGGATATTAATAAATGTTTCCTTCTACTAGTATTAAGTGTCATCATAGATATTTTCAAATACATGTATCATGCATTTGACAACGAGTAATAAATGAATATCACATGTTACATGGAGTATTCTATCTTTTGGGTATTGAACATATGTACAACTACATGTATCATCTAAAGGATGTATTTTTATCAAATCACCTAAAATGCCTGCCCCTTCTTCACTGCCATTCCTCTTCTTTACTCTTGGTACAACCTGAAATACAATCTTCATGTAATTACACTTGAATATAATAAAACATTTTTTTGAATACATTTTATGCACTGATAAGAAATAACAATTTTCCTTTTAATCGAAACATATATTTCAGTGTTCCAGTAAATGTTATTTTTGAAGCTGTACATGTTTATATGCAAGCATACATGTCAGAATATAATTTTTAGACAAAGTGGTCCAACCTTTGAAGATGAGTGAAAACACCTGATGAATTAAAAATTTATATTACTCGTTTGTATGTAGATCCTACCTGTTTGTATGTAGATCCTACCTGTTTGTATATAGATCCTACCTGTTTGTATGTAGACCCCCTACCTGTTTGTATATAGATCCTACCTGTTTGTATATAGATCCTACCTGTTTGTATGTAGTTCCTACCTTTTTTTATGCAGATCCTGCCTGTTTATATGTAGATCCTACCTGTTTGTATCTAGATCTACCTGTTTGTATGTAGATCATACCTGTTTGTATGCAGATCCTACCTGTTTGTATCTAGATCTACCTGTTTGTATCTAGATCTACCTGTTTGTTTATAGATCCTACCTGTTTGTATGTAGATCCTACCTGTTTGTATCTAGATCTACCTGTTTGTTTATAGATCCTACCTGTTTGTATGTAGATCCTACCTGTTTGTATCTAGATATACCTGTTTGTATCTAGATTTACCTGTTTGTTTATAGATCCTACCTGTTTGTATGTAGATCCTACCTGTTTGTATCTAGATCTACCTGTTTATATCTAGATCTACCTGTTTGTTTATAGATTCTACCTGTTTGTATCTAGATCTACCTGTTTGTTTATAGATCCTACCTGTTTGTATGTGGATCCACTCGATGTGACAATAGTGGGACAGAAAGAGGTTACTCCATGTGCTAGAATTCCAAATGCAACTTTTGACACACAGTCCTCAATGTTGTCTGTATTTGAAAAATCTTCACCAAATGCTCCTTAGAGAAAATCAAAATAATGTGTATTGTCTATATATCGCTCTAACTATCAGTAAATAGCTCCTCAGAACTAATGTTTTATTTGTTAAAAATATACTAGATTTAAATAAAGAATAATCTACTCTTTTAAGTCAAACCTTATTGTATGCACAATTTAGAAAATACAATTAAGATACATCAATTTGTCAAATAAAATCAAATATATCATTGATTATAATGAGGTCTGCTGTAGACGGATGTGATAAGCCCAACAGTTTTTCTTTCAGCATTCTATTTGAAGACTATGACACACTTTACTATCCATTTACATTAACTGCTTCCTATAACAATTTAAGGTAATACAATTTTATTACAGTAAGTATGTGTGCATTCTATAACAATTTACATGACTCAGTAGTCAGTACAGTTCAATTCCATTAAACCAAAATGTTTAAAATAAAATTAAAATCAAGTTAGCATGCATTTCTGTCTTCACCTCTGGTACTGATTAGTGCTCAGATACAGTATTGCAGTACTGTCATATATTTGAAGTTTAAAACCAAACCAGACATTAGATATTGGCATTAGAATTTTTAAAAAAAAATATACAGAAAATGTTGCTAACAACATAATTTACCATTAATCTGTACATCTATAAATCCTGCACATATGATGGCTCCTTTGCAGTCTACAACAACATCTGCAGAGACTTTCTCCTGGAAGAAGATCTCCTCTGGGTTGACAATGATTCCATCTCTGACCCAGAGGTCATCTGTAATCAGGTCACCACCTCTGATAAGGCGACAGTTTGTGTACTTGAATATGCGCCCCAGATTACTCATTTTTACCTAAATAAGAGATGACACTTTTTTAATCTGTCAATCTTCATATTGGCTTTTATTATAAACTTAAATTCACTTCTGAAAAACCTATCTTGGGTCCACTTTAATGTTTACTTTGTTTTTTTTAACTATTACATCTTCAAAAATACTAACAAACGATACTTTACCTGAAAATGAAAAAAAATCCACATCGATAATTAACTCTACATTAATTGATTAAGCACTGATTAAAACAGTCAGTGTAAGCCAAGTCAAGTTTGGCGAAAAAAAAAATTCTTGATCTAGAAATTGGCACTCTTTACATAATGTTTTACTTTGTTTACTGACATCATTTACTGAATAGAGTATCATAGATCACATTCTTATTCATTAGTACTATTAATATTATAAACGAGAAGTAAGAGTAACCTTTACGTTTAAATTAGCTGCATATTTCTGTCACATGAGTCTAAAAATGTTATTCTTTTACCAGCTGATCGTCGACAGTCGTTGTTAATGCATACTATATAAATTCGAGTACACTATTAACATTGAAAATTATTTCGAAGAATTAAAAAAAGATATGTGTTAATATAATGACATTTTAATTTTCACTTATCAGCAAAACAAATGATTTTCATGTTAATATTCGAAAATGGTTCCTTAACTACTGAAAATATTAATTTTCTTTCGATTGGGTCTTTTTCAGTAATTAGCAAAATATCTGAAGTGAAAGTAAAAGTTAAACTATGCCAAAAGCAAAGGTGCCTGATTCGTTACTAGGTAAATGGAGGGGTTATTGGTTGCCAGCGGCAGTTGCCCTTGGATTTCTAGGATTAAACAGAATACTAGCTAATAAGTATGTAAAACTTTACAAAAAAGTTTTATACTTGAATCAGTTATCACCTATGTAGTATGTGTACATGTGTACACATGATCATGATGACGAAACTTTGTAAGGGATAAACCACAGGAGCTTGTCCTCTTACACTATAAGATACACAAGGGAGGAATCATTCTTCTCGTTTTAATTTTTCTCAAATGTGAATTTCACATTATAGGTATCAAGTTTTTAAAAATACTTGCGAACTGTACTAGCTGCATAGCCTAAATGTAGCATTATTGTTTTATATTAGTCTTTGACCATGGTTTTATATATTTATATTAGTCTTTGACCATAACGCTACAGATCCCGAAATGCAAATATGGTGCAATTTACGGCGCAAGATTTTTTGCGAACGGTTGGGGAGAATTTCACCACTTTCCAGCATTCAATCTGATTAAAATCAGATCCTCGATGCTCCTTTTTTAACGGTATGTTACGGAAGCGTAATAGGGCCGCAGCAGTATCTTTTATTAATTTGTTTTAACAAATTACTAATTTGTTATAACAAATTATCAATTTGTTATAACAAATTATTAATTTGTTATAACAGATTACTAATTTGATATAACAAATTATTATTTTGTTATAACAAATTATTAATTTGTTATAACAGATTAGTAATTTCTTATAACAAATATATAAATTTGATATAACAAATTATTAATTTGATATAACAAATTAGTAATTTGTTATAACAAATTAGTAATTTGATTTAAAAAATCATTATTTTATTACGAACGGGGATGCAATGACCTGGTAGATGGGAGTCAAGGACGGAGCCCTGGTGGGGGAGGAGGACAAAATTCAAATAGAGCTCCTAAGAATAAGTAAATAGGAACCAAAGAATTTGATGCATTGTATCTTTATAACAATAATGTTTGACAGTGAAAACTCTAAATGCTAAAAGATGTAAATCCAGATTAACATATTGGTCAAAAGCTGTAGCTGCAGAGCTTGTACATTTATTATTTTCACAAATCCAACTTATAAAAAGATTTCTGATCTCATCTGGCTTCCATAGATCTGTATACACTTTCACTTTATCAAAATTATTAATTTGTTATAACAAATTACCAATTTGTTATAACAAATTACCAATTTGTTATAACAAATTATTAATTTGTTATAACAAATTAGTAATTAGTTATATCAAATTGATAATTTGTTATATCAAATTAGTAATCTGTTATAACAAATTAGTAATCTGTTATAACAAATTAGTAATCTGTTGTAACAAATTACTAATTTGTTAAAACAAATTAATAAAAGATACTGCTGCGGCCCTAATACGCTTCCGTAGTATGTCGCTTACGAGGTTAAGCGACATATCGTTAAAAAAGGAGCATCGAGGATCTGATTTTAATCAGATTGTTCCAGCATTGGTCATTCAACTACCTTTCACTCCCTAATACTAGACACATTCTTTCACCAATTTGTTTATTTTATCCACTTCCTAACCCTGTAAAGTCCTCTCTAAAGACCAATAAACCAGTTTGTTTTGAGTTTTCTGTCGTTCGACAAAAAAATTCAAAACGAGAGAGTTTCAAGTATTGCTCTGTAGAGACCTACAAATGTATAATACGTTAGTATATAGGTCCCTGGGAAGACCAAACGTTATATACTGTAAACGAATATTACATATGGCTGTGTATTCTTTTTAGCGCCTTTGGGGGAAAGCAACTTCCGCTAATTCAAGTACAACGCTAAATGTCTTGCATATATGCATATAAATAAGAACATTAACAAATGCGCTAAATCAAATCTTCGCTAACTTGTTCAAAAATCAATTTCCGCCAAATATCGTACACGCTAAATATAATACATTTACAGTATGTGATTGAAATGTAACTTAGTCGTGTGAATCGACTTTAAAACCATTTAAAGAGGTATTTGAATTAATTTTTCAGTTAGGCATAATGTTACCCTTTCACTTCTCAAAAAAGAAAATAAATTAATAAATAGCTCTAAGCTACAGGTATGCTTTTTGTCAAAATTTAAAATTTAATACACACTGACTGTACAAATACAGCCAATATCTTACTATCCTCCGTACAATCTGGCCTCACTAAATTCTCCTACCACATTATTTTATGTTCAATATGACAGACTTGCTTTATTATTATTTATTTTTAGCAATAACTAATTTTGTTACCTTATAGGATATGAGGTTTTAAAATTTACAATTTTCAAAATTACCATAAATATTAAGATGGTAAACATACACTTGCATGCTAAGTATTCTCTCTAGAAAGGTTGACCATTATATTTAACCTCTTTTACGTGTTTTAAAAATCAAGAAGTAATATTAAGATTTTTTGGTGATTCATCCCCTAGTTCACAATGTAGGGGACCGTATTATTCAGGGGCTTAGTATCACAGGCACCCGACGTGGATGGTGTATACCCCCCCCTTCCCCATTTTTAAAGACACCATAACCTTTCAAAAAAAATATGTGAATTTCCATCCACGGAATCGCAGTCATTTACGCTTTCAGATATATAATAGCATACTTGTCTAATTTCTTTTGTCTCCGTAAACAGCGTCCAAACTCTTAAAAAAATTCTCGCCGACTGCAAAATTCGTTCCACACCACCAAGTGTTAAGTACTCGCGTCTCTTGCGGAATATCTAGTTGGATTGGATAAAAGACTGTTTCTAAAATTGCATTGAATAAATGTCGATTTTATGGAAATAAAAAGAAAAATCATTATATTTATTAACTGCAACATTTAATCATTGAAATTTAATTTTAATTTTTAAATCCTAATGATTTTTAAATTTTGATTTCTGCCCGAGACTTAGTACATATAGTAGTCCTTGTACTTGCAGTTAAACCGTATTCCAGTCGCTGAGCAGATTTTGGACGTATACTTTACGGAGATAAATTAAAGAGAGACATCCATCAGATATTTATGCTTTTGAAGATAAATTATCCTAGAAGAGAATGGCAATAAACAGTTTTCCATTGCGTTTTTTCCGAAAGTGTAAATGACTGGGATTCAGGGGTCCATGTATATTCGGACTTAGATACCTTGTGTTTTATTATACTGTGGGGTAAAAAAAATTACAAAAGAAGTGCCTGTGTCTTTTACTGTTTTATGCACTGTAGTTGTGTACTTAATTTTTTATTAAAATTATGCAGCAAACGACATGTTTGTAGTATTATTTTACCTCTCCGCTTTGCGAGGTTGTAAGTACTCTCTCAAGTGGTGCTTGGGGAGGGGCTATGCTTTCTAACACTGTTATCAAGTTCTTCCGACGATGTCTATACAAGGCCATCGAAGCATTTCGAATGTCTCTATCCTGCAGATTGCTGTCTTCAATTCTTGTTAATTCCGATTTGACCACTGCAGCAGGGCTTTTTATGTAGTCCTGGGTTTGCTTTTTAAGACGAACTCGGAGTTGTCTCGCTTCGGCTTTTCTTTCGTTAGGTTCGTTTTTACAGCTGTGTTGGTTCCTTGATTTCACTACATTAACACCGTCAGAATCTGTCGTCAATGACTTTTTACAATTTTTGGACACACTACAAATGTATACAATATTACCATTTTTCAGGGTATTGATTTTCCTGTAGACGTAGCCATCAACGATAATAGCTTTATTCCCTCTGTTTGTTTCCGTATGTTTAACCTCCATTAGATGCAGAATGTAGAATAATGTTTACAAGTTATTCTTCCTCACTGCTATACAATCATAACAAAACGAATGAAAAAAGGCGATTCAATGTTCGTTTCTTTTCTTCTAAGGTTTTAAAAAAATTTCCGGAAATGTATTAATTCCGGAAATCATACAAAGGTTTTCGGGAAATATGGGATTATTTTGGCATCGTGTAACCTATGGAGTAAAACATGGATTGGAATCTTCTAATGGGCCAATGACTGGTTTTAGCGTCACAGGCACCAAACATTATTTATTTTTCTTATAATGAAAAAATATACCACCTACCTAATAAATAATGTGATTTATTAGGTAGGGAGTATAATTTTGTTGATATTAAGAAAAATAACGTTCAGCTAGGTCCCTGTGACTATAGGTTGCCAAGTGTATACATAAAGCTTCTTGCGGCATTGCTATAAGTACTGAATTTTGTCAGCATTTTCTATTACTATATATCTTTTTCATTCATGTCTTACATAGTGAGGAATAATTTTCTTAAGAAAAGAAATTTCTTTTGTATGAACTGAAGGTATTCGGAAACAGGACATGCTTAAAAAAATTCGGATGAAGCACAGGCCTTCAGATTGCTTTGGTCTCTGACAAACATGAATATAAAAAAAAATATATACGTCTGTCACATCAAAAGGATTTGAAGGCCTGTGCTGGGATGAAGGAAGAGATGAGTTTATTTTATATATATATATATATATATATATATATATATATATATATATATATATATATATATATAAGCTTAGTTGTTGATCTACTGACATTGATTGTATGTTTGCAGGGATTCTATTTTACGACCAATGTTTCCCGAACTTTTTGAGGAGCGCGCCAAAACTGACGAGAAGGGAACAAAAACTTTACAGGAGGGACATCTAGTGAGGATGAGGAAACAAGTTATAGAGGAAAAACTGAATGAAAGAAAGGACTGAGGAAACAAGTTATAGAGGAAAAACTGAATGAAAGAAAGGACTGAGGAAAAAAGTTACAGAGGAAAAACTGAATGAAAGAAAGGACTGAGGAAACAAGTTATAGAGGAAAAACTGAATGAAAGAAAGGACTGAAGAAACAAGTTATAGAGGAAAAACTGAATGAAAGAAAGGACTGAGGAAACAAGTTATAGAGAAAAAACTGAATGAAAGAAAGGACTGAGGAAACAAGTTATAGAGGAAAAACTGAATGAAAGAAAGGACTGAGGAAAAAAGTTACAGAGGAAAAACTGAATGAAAGAAAGGACTGAGGAAACAAGTTATAGAGGAAAAACTGAATGAAAGAAAGGACTGAAGAAACAAGTTATAGAAGAAAAACTGAATGAAAGAAAGGACTGAGGAAACAAGTTACAGAGGATAAACTGAATGAAAGAAAGGACTGAAGAAACAAGTCACCGAAGAAAAACATAAAGAATCAAGTGTATATTTGTCATTGTATCTGAAGACTTGAAAGGTGCGTGTGTGTGTGTGTGTGTGAGTGAGTGTGCGTGAGGGTGGCTGTTAGTGTAGGTGTGTGTGTGAGGGTGGCTGTATGTTTGTGTGTGTGACAAAGATGATAACACCGTAAATCTGATTAATGTTTCAAAAGTGAAAAAGACGCATATGTGTGATAGGATTGTAAGTAACAGAATTTCAGAATGGTCGTCAATTCATATGTTTTGCGACATTTTCTCAGGGTGTGTATTTAAAGTTTTCTTATGTTTTATCTGAATTCAAAACTTCAAACAATATAATTTCAAAAAAACTTGTTTTCCTTGCTAGCTTATGCTAAGGTTAAAAAAAAAAATCATGACCCTGAATTTGATGCCATCGACAATCTCACACAAAATTTCAGTATAATAGACGGAATTTCAATAGTCCAGGAAAACTATTAATCACGGTTATGTTGAATGGTGTTTTGTTGTATAGAACTGGTTAAAGAATATGTTAAATATATTTAAATTATATAAGACCTTGCAAGAAGTAAAAAGTAAATAACAGTAAATAAAAATGGGGGAAAATACTTATAATGGTAACCAGGAAAATTTATTTGATAAAAGTAAATTTATTCTTGTCTTCAGTTTGGTTGTCAATTTGCATCATAGGATATCATGATCATCTGCAAGACTACAGATTTCAACAAAATAAATACTATAGAAATATTGCTTCATTTAACCCAATCGTGAAGAATTTGTAATCTGTAATCATGAAAACAGGTTCGAATCACACCACTTACCTTATCCTCTGATGTGAGGAAAGATAATGACCAGTGAGTTGCATGTATTTCGATTTCTTTTACATGTAATGTGAGAGATGAAATATGGGTTCCTTCCTGTTTATAGCTTTACTCAGGAAAAGAAAAGCTTATCATCTTTATTAAACTTGAGCAGATAAGGGATAAGACGAAAATATAAAAATAGCCCTCAGCGATTTCATCTTTAAGTCTGTAAAATTATTTATCAAAATCTTCCTTATGCCTTTTTTTAACCTAGACAGTTATATTGATTTTCTTTGACTACATCTTTATTCTAGTCTTCTAGAACAGAATGAGATATAGGTAGCTTTTAAGGAGCCGCAGCTATTGAAGGTAAATACGTATACAACTACATTTGTATAAATAGTAATTGTATATCGAGTGTACGCAGCTATTTAAGGTAAATACGTATACAACTACATTTGAAGGTAAATACGTATACAACTACATTTGTATAAATAGTAGTGTATCGAGGTATTGACAATGTATCGATATGTAATCTCTCTTGGTCCTTCCATGTACAGTTTTGTGTCAACAGTGCAAAACTATAGGTGCATAAAATCGCAAACCCTGACGCTAACGCGCTTCATGAAATCTGGTGTGAAGCGTCATAGTTCATGTCCTCATGAATTTTTAACAATAAATGTTGTTGAAATATTGAAATTTGTACATGTATTACATTTGACCCATGTACATTTGACACTGACAATACAGATTTTAGTCTCAGATAGTGGAAGTACATGTACAAAATTTCAAATTTGCAAATGAGGTACGGATTAAATCAACACCCGTCAAGCAGGTATTTCTTTTTCATGTTATTAATTTTAAGTTTCAAGTGTCCGTTTATAATTGATATTCATTTTATAACTTACTGAGATTTTGGCCCTGGGACCTGAATATCCTTTGTGTCATTTGACATTTTGTACACAATTTGAGACTGAAAGTACAATTGTTACTTTCAAATGTACATGCAAAACTTACATTTTAAAGGTACAGATTTCAAAAACAGTATAAAAATGTGCTTCGAGAATGTGAAATGCATATGGCAAGTGAACAGATTTCAGAGGCATTTTAAAAAAAATGTGGATGTACGAAGGCATTATACTGTGGTCATTCTTCACTTTATCAATAAAATATTCTTTTCGGTTTAAAAATCATATCCTGACCAGGAACCATGTTTGAATGAACGAATCTGACAATGTATTTTGATAATTTTATTCGGAAGATTTTCTAAAAAAGTATTTTATCAATCATTCATAGCTTAACATGGGGAAACCAAAAAATAATGGTGTAAGTTTATTAATGTAAATCTAAAGAATACGAACCATGATTTTAAGGTCACCTGAGTCACTCAGGTGACCTATTGCTATCCGTTTTTGTCCGTCGTCGTGCGATGTGCGTTAACATTTGAACATTTTCAGCTTCTTCTCTGAAACCACTCAACCAATTTCAACCAAAAATGGCATATAGCATCTATGGGTAAAGGGGAACAAATATTGTGAATTTCATAGTCCCTGCCCCCTCCCCCCCCCCCGGGGCCTGAGGGGTGGGGCTAAAACCACCAAAATTAATGCAATCTTTAAAAATCTTCTTCTTTACTCCTGGACATCAAGCAGTCAAACTGTTGGCATGATTGTAATAAGCATTGAGCCTTCTACCAAAATTGTGAAATTCATGGCCCCAGGATCAGGGGTTCTGGTGCTAGGGTGGGGCTATATAGATCATATAGTGAAAATGCATTATTTCTTTGAAAATCTTCTTCTCTGCTCCTGGGTATTAAATAAACTAAGTACATAGTTATGAAGAGCAAGAGTGCCTTATCAAAAATTGTGAATTTCATGGCCCCAGGATCAGGGGTTCTGGTGTTAGGGTGGGGCTCTATTGAATATATAGTGCAAATGCATTATTTCTTTGAAAATCTTCTTCTCTGCTCCTGGGTATTGAATAAACTAAGTACATAGTTATGAAGAGCAAGAGTGCCTTATCCAAAATTGTGAATTTCATGGCCCCAGGATCAGGGGTTCTGGTGTTAGGGTGGGCCTCTATTGAATATATAGTGCAAATGCATTATTTCTTTGAAAATCTTCTTCTCTGCTCCTGGGTATTAAATAAACTAATTAAGTACATAGTTATGAAGAGCAAGAGTGCCTTATCCAAAAGTGTGAATTGCATGGCCCCAGGGTCAGTGGTTCTGGTGTTGGCGGGGCTCTATTGATTATATAGTGAAAATGCATTATTTCTTTGGAAATCTTCTCTGCTCCTGGGATTTAAATAAACTAAGTAAGTACATAGTTATGATGAGCAAGAATGCCTTTTCCAAAATTGTGAAAATTCATGGCCCCAGGGTCAGGGGTTCTGGTGTTAAGGCGGGGCTCTATTGATTATATAGTGAAAATGCATTATTTCTTTGGAAATCTTCTTCTCTGCTCCTGGATATTAAATAAACTAACTAAGTACATAGTTATGATGAGCAAGAATGCCTTTTCCAAAATTGTGAATTTCATGGCCCCAGGGTCAGGAGTTCTGGTGTTAAGGTGGGGCTCTATTGATTATATAGTGAAAATGCATTATTTCTTTGAAAATCTTCTTCTCTGCTCCTGGGTATTACATAAACTAACTAAGTACATAGTTATGAAGAGCAAGAGTGCCTTATCCAAAAGTGTGAATTGCATGGCCCCAGGGTCAGTGGTTCTGGTGTTGGCGGGGCTCTATTGATTATATAGTGAAAATACATTATTTCTTTGGAAATCTTCTTCTCTGCTCCTG